CAAAGAAATCCTGATAGGTAAACTCTAAGGAGTGCTATCTATGTATCAAATATGGAAGCATTGAAGTCACATGGGCTGTGTTAAACTGACATGGACCCCATGACTTTATTTTCTCATTTGGTAATGTATACATATCAGAGCTCCTTTGGTAAGATTGGATGGGCCGAAAATGGGGCAAATGGCCCTTTTTCAATCATTAATGTATACAAAATTTCAGCTTAAATTTCAGCCAAAGTTTCAGCCCTAGCCCTTTTATGTATTCTCAAATACAATATTTAGCTTACCATTTTACGTATATACACTCAATCATCTATGTCAGCCAAATAAATGACCAAACACTTTTAATTCAACCCACAAAGCCTTTTCAACAACCACCAAACATACTCTTAATGTGTGTGACCACATAGTCTCCTTGGAATTAACTATAAATAAGGCTGAAAGAAGTTGTTCACATGTTTTATTTAATTCAAATACTTGCAGCTAAAATATACTATGTATAATTTGTTTTAGGTATTCAAACTACAGAAGCTATCGTTCTCCACCAAGACGGTATGGATGGTCTCCAAGAGGCAGGAGCCCATCCAGGTCTGCTGCGTCTCTCCTCTTTGTATGTTTGTGTGTAGTTGTGTTTTTGCATATCCGTAATATACTAAAGACTATTTTCTCTTCACCATTTGTACTAGCTATAACCGCCGATACAGGAGCAGGAGTGGTTCTCGCAGCCCTAAGAATACCGACTTGGCCGAGAAGCAGCACAACAGGAGGAGGACCCCTTCACGCAGTCGTAGCCCTGTGGTTAGACGGCCATCAATCAGGGATGGATTAAAATCTCGTCTGGGGCCTCGTGTGGATGATCAGAAACCTTCAAGTAGAGGAAGGTCCAATTCAAGGTCTCGAAGCCGTTCAAGTTCACCAGATACTGCTCCCAGGAAGCAATCGAGGAGTGATGTAATAGCTGCATCACATCGTGATTCCAAAGCAACCGGCTCCTTGGATGGTAAGAGGGCTTTGGTTTCCTACGATGACATCAGTCCTGGAAATGGGACTGAATAGGTTTCAAAGCCACAGCTAATCGTGTTTATGCTCTTTTGTACTGAATCACTGTTCACTTTTGCACTTCTTTAGTTTGATCAACGGGGTGGGTGGGGGATATAATTTATGGTCGTTAATGGTTTGTGATGACACAGATTTACCTCCAGAGTTGTTATCCCACATATATGGAATATTTTCAACATAAACTTTTTTTCTTAGGAATAACTCAGTAAGAGCATTTGTGTTTGAGAAGTGGTCACTTTTGAAGACAGGCTGAATGTAGAGCTGGCCAGCTGGGCATGGTTTCGCACCAGAACTAGGCTGGGACTAGTGGTGGACCGGGCCCGGTCAGGTTCCGGTTCTGGGTCGGGCCCGGCCGGACTTAGAATTTTTTGGGTTAAGGCCCGGGACCGGCCCGGGAGTCTACCGGTACCGGGCTGGTTCAGTTTAATTTTTTTGGGTTTTCTTATTAATTCCCACCCCCATCCCGCCCCCACCCCAAACCCCTCGAAAACACCCATCACAACTAAATCCTGCCCAAACCCAAAAAAAACCCCCAAAAATATTAAAAAGCCCGGACCGGGCCCGGACCAACCGGTCTGGTCCCCAAATATCTATCATCGGACCTGCCCACTTAATCCCTCCTGGTTCGGGCCCGGTACTGGGACCGGTTCACCGGTTCGGTCTCGCACAGTGCCGGGCCGGTCGGACCGGACCCGGCCACCCGGGCCATGCCTAAACTGGAACCAGTTACTTTGGTCATTAAAATCTCACCCAAGAAACTGTGGTCTCCCTGATCGAACCAGAGGTCCAGAACTATAAGTCTATAACTGGTCATATTCAAGTTCTGTTCTCCACTTCTCCATCATTACTATGACAAAACTGGTTGACCTGCCCCTTTCATTTTGTTTTAAAAAAATAGAATGTTTGGAGTAGTCATGGACCCGGGCCGGGCCTGGCCGGGCTTTTTTTTTTGGGAAGGCCCGGGACCGGCCCGGGTAGCCACCGGGTCCAGTCCGGAGCCGGGCCCGGGTAGCCACCGGGTCCGGTCTGGAGCCGGGCCGGGCCTCCTGTTTGGTCATTTTTTTTTTTGCTTTCCTAGCCCCCCCTCACCCCCCCCCCAAACCCCTCCTAACCATCAAGCCCAACTCGGGTAACCCCAAAAATTGAAAAAAAAAATAAAAAAAAATCAATTCGGCCCGGACCCCGGCCCGACCCGGCCAGTTCGCCAAATACAAGGCCCGAGCCCGGACCTGCCCCCCACCGGGCCTAGGCCCGACCCGGACCCGAGAACCGGGCCGGTTCCGGTTCCGCACAGTAGCGGGCCGGGCCGGTCCCGGGCCGGGCGGCCCGAACTGGGTCCATGACTAGTTTGGTGTACACATTATCCATACATGTTTTGAACATTTTCTATTGCCCACAAACATTTATTACAAAATTACTTACAAATTATGTATTTTTGAAGATAAATTGCTTGTTCAAATTGCCCCTGATTCCTACAAAGTGTGACTGACAAAATGCGAGGATGTGTACTGAAAACCTTTTCAGTTTGAACTCAAAAATATCTTGGGGTGGTCGAACTTTAAGGGTCTAATTATTTGTCAACCGGTTTGGTCTGGCCCTACCGGTTGTTTTCAGTTTGCCCTGCAATTTTCAGTATGTGTTACTCGGCATTTACTCCACCAGCGTATTCAAATAGCCTTCAAAAAAAATTATTGTGTCATTAGTCAGTAACGAGAAATGGGCCTGATGGTAGCAAGTGATCTGTACTGATTGGGTATTGATATTCCCTCTCTTCAAAACTAATACTCCCTGTATTTTAATGTTTGCTACACTTTCTTCTTTGGGATATATTTAAAAGTTTGCTACACTTCCATTTTTGGTAAGTTTACCCTTTATAAAATACTCAACTATCCTTACTTTTTCCACTTTTTATCTTCTCTTTCATACTCGTACACACTCTCCTACTTTTTCTACACTATTCATTACCCCTACCACTTTACTTCTTAAATAATGTGTCAAACCAAATGTAGTGAACATTAAAATACTGAGGGAGTACAATTTGAATATTTAAATCTAATAGATTTTAATATATACGGAGTATATATAAAATGGGCTTGTTATTGGTTTTGGTTTTCCTTTTCAATCTCCATCAAACCTTTAATGCAAAAAATTCTTTGTCCTCTTCAAGCTTGCATTTGTGTTGCTTTAAACGGCAGAGTCGAGTGACAAGTCATTTACACTAGGTGAAAGTCTTTCCAACGTTATGGAATGGATAAACTTGAGTGCGTTAGTCATCAATTGATTCAATTCCAAATATTGTTTTTAGATGTTTAGGTGATGCATTGGTTGAGATAGCATGTTTAGTGGAGTTGTAGATTGTACCCATTAAAAATGGACATGTCATATATATATAGACAACCTATTAGGGTGACTTGGACACACTTTTAAAATTATTTTTAGACTCCAATGATACAATGGGTTTAGGAAATTAGTTTCCTATTGACATGCTACTATGCTAGATTAAAAAACAGCCGCCCCTAATTTCTACCATAGCAGCTTTCCAATGTCCCATTTAAAACAAATGAGGGTCACCACTCTCAGTTTTTGTTGAGTATTGATAAATAGGCATTCTTTCATTACACATCTTATCTTGAGCAGGTTAGTTTGCATTCCACGGAGTATGAGTGTTGATAAGACTTGCTGGAAGTAGAAGGCTAGGTAGAAGATGTCCGTTTAATTCTGTTCCAGCTCAGCAACACCTACTGTATACACATTTCCACTAGAGGTAGAAAATTAACTTCAAAGTCCATTAATCTGATGTGGCAATTCATTTTTGAGCAACCCATTTCCTCACCGGATGCTCTTATGGAGCCATTTTGGGAAGCTTTTTATCAATAATTAATTTTTAGTGATGGATACTTATTTAAAATAAAAATGTTGTAAATGTTTGATACAAGGTAACTGTTTATATCAATTTTGTTTGGTATAACAACATGTTCTGACTAATTACTTCTTCGTATAGCGAGAAGAGAGCCCTATATCATCAATAGAGGTGTATGAAACTCCAATACAAATCAGGACATTTCATTATACAAATCATCCAGACGCCTCCATTTAAAATGCTTCCAGGTGGTATTTTGGATGAAATTTTGTAAGCATATTCTTAATGAAGCTAGATTTGTTCACAAAAATTAATCTTAAATTTATTCAAAAAGTCAGTTAAATAAATTATTGAAAACATTGCGCCAAAAAAATATGAACACAATGTTTTTTTAGTTTTTTAACTAACTTCTCGATCAAATTTGAAGATGAAATTTTGTGGAAATAACCTACACTTCAACAGAAGATGCTTACAAAATTATTTAAAAAAATCCACCTGAAACGCCTCAAAGGGAAGTGTCGTGACGGCGGTTCTCCACCAAACGATTGGATTATATGTGATAAATACACATGTTGCTTCAAGGGAGTCACATCCTTTCTTGATTTTAGTTACAAATAACCGGAACATATTGTGCTTAGAGTACTTTACACTCAATATACAATTTTCTTGGTTAGTGTATTTATTAGTAACTAAAATACACTATTTATCTTTTTCTTTTTTCCCAAAAGCTTTATCTTGTAGCATGACTTACTATTATATGATAGATAATAAACTTTTAAGAAATCGTATTTTGTGCGCGACTAGAAGTGGTATCAGGTCGATGCATATTTATACATCCTTATATTTTACAATACTACTCCATATTCTCACAAGTTAGCTCAGGATTAGAAGATCATTATTTGAGAAAATCCTCACAAATGCACTTCTTTGGTGATTTGAATTCTAACATCTCTTGATCTCCTACATAAAGAAGATTTAAGTTCACAATATTGTTCACTTGCATAACTCCCACTTGTCTAAAGTGCAAATATTTGTAAAGGGATCAATGTAAGAAATAGAGAAACGTGATTAGTTTAGAGAGTACGTTAATTAGAAAAGAGAAACTCATAAATTGTTTCATAACAATAAGATAGAGGGTGAAACCATAGTAAAACGTCTTTTGTTCCATACATTATCATCTTAATTTTATATTCTATTGCAAGACTACAAGTTCAGATTGAAGGAAAATCATTTCTGATACAATAAAGAGGCATCATATTCATGGAAAGGCGAAAGATTTGGGAGTTTGGATTTAAGCATATAAAAGATATAAAAGGTGGTCGCCATTGATTGGCGAAGCTAGAAATGATAGATTATGGAGGTCGATGTTTAAAGAATTTATGTTTTGGTGGATTAAATATTTGACACACACATATGATACGTAGTAGTATATATCACATTTTTTATTGGGAGGCCGAGGCCCCCGGCCCCTCCCCTATATCCACCCGTCGCCACACCATTTATGTCGAGATAATTCAGGTTGCTTGCTGCTTTGCTAAATGCATTTCTTGTGGTGCTTTTTCTGGGATAGATCACACGATTTGTAGCAAGGATAATTAAGTGCTGGATCTTCAGATTGTGAGGGAGGATGCTCGCCAAATATCATCTCACAGCTCATATCATCAAAATCTGCCCAACTGGAATGCGTTAGATCATAGTACAAATGTTACACGATATCCGTAGTAGTTAATTAGTTCCTTGGTCCTAGACTCTAGAGTAGTCTTCTTATTTGGAATTGATAATATTAAGAAAAAGTATATTTGTACCCACCCTCTTATACTCACTCTTATTCACAGACAAAAAAATTGTCTCTCACAGAGGTGGATATAAGGGTGTGTATAAGAGTGGATACAAATAGCAATGTTGTAATATTAAACCTTTTGGTAACTCCATAATTTGAATTGTACGTGAACCTTATTATCTATTAACTTTTTTATTTAAGAAATAACTTTCCATTTTGCATACTGAGTTGTATTGTAATCAAAGTAAGTAAGATGAAAGTTACTTTTCTTATTGAATTAGAGTTTTTTCTATCTATAACTTTTTCCAACCAGCTTGGATTCAGTTCAAAATTTTCTCTCGTAAGTAATTCAAGGTAGCTTCCTTGTCTCTTCCTACCAAAGCCGGTAATCCTAGGTAATTCATGTGTTGCTCCCCTTGATACTCCCAAGGAATTGCTAAAAAACTTCCTAACCGGCTCACCCACATTTGGGCTTAATGAAATGTGTGATATGGTAAAGTTTATAGCTTGTCCCAACACCAGTTCATACTCGAGGTGAATCCTTGCACACTGCTACCCCATGTAAATTCCCTTTGCGTCATGCTCTTCCTCCACAATGCACATAAACCATCGGGAACCAGTATAAATAATAAGGTTACAACAGATCACCTTGCCGCAGCCCCATACTTGGAATAATGGGTCCAAGAAGATCCCGATAAAACTTAATGTAATATCTTACCGTTGTTATACATTACATAACTATTTCAATCCATCGCAAACCAAAACCTACATGTTCAAGAATATACCGAAGGAACCCCCAATCAACACGGTCATAGGCTTTACTCACATCGGGTTTGAAGGCCACATAACCTTCCTTGCCAAAATGATACTATCTGCAATTGACCTTCACTGGATAAAAGCATTTGCAATAGTTTTTGGAAAGATTTTATAAACAACATTGCATGATGTTATAGATCTCTACTTCCCTACGCTCTTCGGTTTATCTTTTTTAGAAATTAAAACTACATTAGTTATATTCAATTCCTTAGGGATGCTTCCCGATTAAAAATTTTGAGAACAAAGAGGAGTAATTTGAGGTCCCACAATGTCCCAAAAGTTTTGAAAAAATGTTGGATTCATATAAATTATAAATTATAATGGCACTCTTCGCTTCCTCCAGCCGGATATGCCTAAGGGGCGCCATATTTTGATCATGTGAAACCCTGTGAAAACTTTTTGTCTCAACAGGCTGTAACCCCTCTCCACTTGAAGCATAAAGATTTGAGAAGTATTTGGAGATCATGGAACTCATCTCCCCACGATCAGTAGTCAATGTTCCGCCAACTTTAGTTAAACCTACCATCTTGTTCCTCCCATGTCTTTGTTTAAATGCATTATGAAAGAAACCAAACTCATATACATGCAATTCATTTTTCCTGGAAATGCATGTATTCATGGCTCACAACTCACGACCTTAATTGGGAGGACAAAAAAACCACAGATCATAAAAGTTACTCCCTCCCTCCCTATAAAAACTCCTCATTTGACCGGACACACAAATTGTGTGGTGGAAAATTATGTAAGAATGTGTAAGAATTTTCGTGAATCACAAATTTTTTGCCAAAAAGAGAAAGAAGAGAATTTTGAGACGGACGGAAAATGAAAGTTTGAAGATAATATAAGGACGGAGGGGTATGCAATTTGATATACTTTTTGTAAAAATTGGAGCAAAAAATATACTACCTCCGTCCCGGTGGACTTTGCCAAGTGCAAAGTATGTGAGAAATAAGAATAGTAAAAACTGTGTGGTTGAGATTTGTGCAAAGAAAAGAGAATTTGCAAAACCACAAATTAGTTATTTTAATAGGAAAGTGGTAAAGTTTTTTTGGACAACCAAAAAGGGAAAATTGACAAAGTCTAATGGGACGAAGGGAGTTGTTGGGATAATGACCCAAATGGAGGGTCGGCCCATTTACCCCCTCACTCAGACGAACGTCCAGCCCAATGGGTGGAAGCCCACCCCGACGAACATCCAGGCGGGGTGATGGTGAATCAAAACTACAGGCAAACATTGTGACGACGAACGTCCCCACCAAAGGCCCGCAGCCACATGATGCCCAATCTAATCTATATGACAAATACGCCCAAGGGCCAGGATACGAACGGCCTACAACCCTTTGCAGTATAGTCAGGAGCAGGCTCCTGGCCCAAATGGACGTCCGTCTCCACAGGTTGGACAGGAAACCCAGATTCTGGCGGGAAGCGCATTTAATGCTAAAGATTTGGTGGTTGAGACACCAGCCACACACAGCCCTCCACGTCAGCATAGCCAACTGCCCATTGGTGGTATAAATAACAACATTTATTTCATTGTAAAGGGTTGACAACTTACTATTCTTAGCACTCTAGCTAGCTTATTACCTTATCACTAGCAGTTCTTCTACTGCGGGATAAGACGAACGACCGACGAGCCTTAGCAAGCGTATTGTATTGGGGAGTTATTAACTGATTAATAATACCTAAACTTTTACTTTCTAGTTATCATCTCTTAATCCACGTTACTTGTTTGTTTGGGCTCGTTTATTCATATATATACACTTCACCACACCACTCGAAACCTTTGGGCTTATGTGTTGGACCCGAAGGTTGAAGGAATAAACCTCAACAAGAGTAATAATTATAACACTTTAAAGAAAAAATAGTTTTTTTACCCGAGCTCCACTACCTGCTCCCCCCGCCCCCCCTCTTTCTAACTCGTGCACGCGTGGGCTGCCTACGTCTTTTGGAAGGGAACATCGTCACTTATTCATGATTGACATTAACGTAGTTTGAATTCAGGTGTATTTTGGTAAATACTTTTAACTTGACCCTAATTTAGAATTATTTTGGAAAAAACTCTCAAAGTCAACTAAATTTAATGAAGTAAATTTTAGCTATTTTATACGATGTACTCCCTCCGGTTCTAAATAAACTTCACACTTTCCTTTTTGGGTAGGTCCGAAATAAACTTCACACTTCCCTTATTTCCATATTTGGCCAAGAAATCTACATCAAAACAGTTTTAAAAAGTGTCACAACAGTGTACTCTACAGTAAAGTCAAATTATTTTCTTAATTTGTTTGAAGTCAAAGTTTGAAGTTTAAAAAGAACCGGAGGGGTATATTTTTCTTTATTTTATTAATAAATTTTACCTAAAAATAATTGTTTTACAATTCAGCAGATTCAATCATTTTAATTATAAATCTCATTAATTTTAGCAGATTCAGAAGTAAAATAAAAAACAGATGAATGAAATTTGGATTTAAATTAGAAATGGAGCTGCTGCACTTACTAGGAACCATATTTACCGGCATTCCCAAGGAATTCATGATGAACGTTTGAGAAGGGATTTTGCATAGATTGGTACACATTCCAACACAGTTGCTCTCCTCTAAGAACCTAATAAAGTTGCCAGGCCAAAGTGCCAAACATAGGGCAGAGCATTAACATTCTGTATACAATAAATTTATGTATTTTTAACAAATTTGAAATTAATTGTTATTCAGTAACAGCCCGTAAAAGTAGCGGTATTGCATTGAATATTTAATACTAGAATGAAATAGAACCTGCATTTCTTTATGTGGACAACATTCTTTTCTCTTTTCTCTTCACCTTCTGCCTTCTTCACCTAAAAGCCAAAATGTATTATAAAAGGCGAACACATATAAAACCAATATTCGGTAGAACATTCATATGCTGAAGTGTTTGATGGGAACAAGGTCCTACCTTCTAGTTCTTAGGTTATTTAAATAGTCTAAAAAATCCCTTTGTTGTTTGTTTAGAACATTAATTTTTAAGAAAATTTTAATAATATTTTTTTCGAGAAACTACATTGAGTACTTTTTTTTCTTTATATTTTTTTCTACACTGAGTACTTTTCTAGGTAAAGTTTATAACTTTTAAAATTAATAAGTCATAACAAATGAATACACTAACCAAAACCAAATCAAACTGACCAAACAGTCAGCTTTGTGTAGATTAGGATATTGGTAGGGGAGAGGTAGTGAAACTTCATAATTTGGGTGGTGTTATATAAAGAAACAAATTTGCTTAAGTATACTCATATATCCCTAATGCTTGGATTCAATGTTTATTGTCATAGTAAAAGGGGTGGTCAAGTAGAATTTTTATCAAGCAACTATAACACATTTTTCCTTTATAATTTTGAACCATTTTTGTTGTACCGATTCACAGACAAAATATGTATTATTTTGCCTGTGCAAATTTGTCACAAATAAAATATTGTCTGTGAATGGACCTCAATAAATTTCCTCTTTCTTTTTAGTTTAAGTTTTGTCAATGTTTTCTATCTAGCTCACGAACTTGTTGCTTTAAATCTAACATGCATGAACTTATATGATCGTTCATCAATTTAGCCTAATCTTAATTGTGCGGAATTGACTCTATAGTCTGCACATCAATTTAAAATGTGTAGTTGCTATGAATCAATTGTAATTTGAAACCTCTCAAACAGTTATATACTCCCCGTTTCAAAATAAACCTCACAGTTTGACTTTTACAGTCTCCTAGGCGGACGTTTGACCGTAATTTCCTATTAATATATGCATATAAAATCTATAATAAATTGACATTTGAAAAATACATATTACAATGAAGCACATTATATAATTTTTTTGGGATAAAATATTATTAATTTTGAGTAATAAGTGGTCAAAGTTTAACAAGTTTGACCCAAAAAGTTTGTCTGTAAGGTTTATTTTGTCTGTAAGGTTTATTTTGAAATGGCCGCTTTATCACTTACGGCTTTTCGATTTCCACAAGTATGACCATATTTAGTTTTTCTAAAAATGTTACCCATGCTCGGCCAGTTCTCCGCACATAACACATCAGCACTTCTCTCTTCAGCGCATCCTCTCATCGACGCAAGAGCTCCAACAACAAAGCCTCCAGCGATCCTCACATCTCACCCGTCGGGCTTATTCTCTCCAACCGCCGCCGCTCTCCAATCGCCGCCGCCCTCCAATTGTCGCCGCCCTCCAACCGCCGATCTCTTCTTCTTCTTCTTCTTATTTCTTGCTTCAACCGCCAGCAGTCGTCCTCGTTGCTCGATCTGCCGGTGCCGGATATGCCGTACTTGGGTTCGCCGGTGTCGGATCTGCTGTACTTGGGTTTGCCGGTGCCGGATCTGCCGTACCTGGGCCCACCGGAGCCGGGTCTGCCGTCTCTATGGCCTCCGGTGTCAGATTTGTCATCTCCGTGGATGGCGACTCCAATTTGGGGCCGCCGCTGATGCTGGGTGTGTGGCAATGGTTGCAGAGTCTTGGGAAGCGATAGTGCATGGCCGGGGTGTGGTGTGGTGGGGACTAGGGTGCGGTGGCCGGCCAGAGTGGTTGCGAAGGGGGCGGAGGTTGTTCAGAGGCATAGGCTGGAGGTGGGGTAGAGTCTTGGCCATCGATTATACAGGGTTGTGGTGGGGGGTTGCGGTGGACTAGGGCTGGGTTGGGGTGCGGTGGACTGGGGCTGGGGCTTGGTTGGAGTGTGGTGGCCGCCTTGCCGGCCGGGGTGGTTGGTTTGAGGTGGTTCAATGGAAGGGGCAGACAATGGCGGTGACTGACTGGTTGGGGTAATGACTAGTCCGGAGGCGGCGGCAGTCACTGCCCGGAGGCTGCGGCAGTCACTATCAGTGTGCGGGCAGTCTCTTTGACCAGTGAGCAAGCAGTCATCATAACCCGGAGCCACTGTGGCCGGTGAACGGTGGTCACAATGACCAGTAGGCGGGAGTCACTGTGACCGCCGGAGTCACTTTGACCGGAGTCACTTTGATCGGAGTAACTTTGGCCGGAGTCACTTTGGTCGGAGTCACTTTGGTCGGAGTCACTTTGCCTAGTAGAGTCACTAAGGTAGTGACTGGCGGCGGTGGTTGCGGTGCTAACGGCGGCAGTGGTGGTGTTGGGGTCGGCGGGGTGCTGGTTGCTACAAATGTATAAAAGGAATGTATTAAATAATAAATATATAATTAAATATAAGGAATAAATGAATTTTAGTCACATTTTTGGAAAAATTTAAAACAGATTACTTTTTTATCTTTTTCATTCATTTTAGTAATATTGGAATAAAAAGGTCTTGAATTAATAAATAAAATAAGTTTGTTTAAATTACGATAATTAAAGAGTAATTGATGGAACGTAAGAACGCACCTCGCACGGACCAACTAGCCAGGTAAAGAAAAGTGTGGTGAAGGCGGCGCAGTATTCACTTCCCAACGTCAAACGTGGAAGCACCATACGCATCTGTCAGCTCCATCATTCACATACCCTTATTAGAATTCAAGAATGATTTTTACACAAAATTATCTACATCTTTTTTGTGCAATTACATCTTCCAATTCGTCGATTGTTACTCATATTTTCAACAAAAGTGCTTTTTTTTAATGAAATGAGGAGAAGTGATTAAATAAAAGTTGATAGTGTTTGAGAAAAAAGTGAGTTTGAAAAGTAAAAGTGGGTATTGTTTGGTAAAATAAGTGTTTTTTGTGTAATAGAAAAAGTAAAAACACTTTTGACACGGAAGCCGAGAAAAATAAAAGTTGTAGTGTTTGGGAAAATAAGTATTTTTTAAAGCCAAAAGCTAAGAAGTGCTTTTTTTAAAAGCAGTTTCAAACCAATCCTAAATACGATCCTTTAAGAGTTGCCATTTACAATGAGGACGCGGACCACATTCAGGGGTGTAACCAGAAGTAAGAGTTGGGCTGGGGCGTTACGAATGGCAATGGGTCGGGGCGGGGCAGGTAAAGAAAAGTGTGGTGAAGGCGGCGCAGTATTCACTTCCCAACGTCAAACGTGGAAGCACCATACGCATCTGTCAGCTCCATCATTCACATACCCTTATTAGAATTCAAGAATGATTTTTACACAAAATTATCTACATCTTTTTTGTGCAATTACATCTTCCAATTCGTCGATTGTTACTCATATTTTCAACAAAAGTGCTTTTTTTTAATGAAATGAGGAGAAGTGATTAAATAAAAGTTGATAGTGTTTGAGAAAAAAGTGAGTTTGAAAAGTAAAAGTGGGTATTGTTTGGTAAAATAAGTGTTTTTTGTGTAATAGAAAAAGTAAAAACACTTTTGACACGGAAGCCGAGAAAAATAAAAGTTGTAGTGTTTGGGAAAATAAGTATTTTTTAAAGCCAAAAGCTAAGAAGTGCTTTTTTTAAAAGCAGTTTCAAACCAATCCTAAATACGATCCTTTAAGAGTTGCCATTTACAATGAGGACGCGGACCACATTCAGGGGTGTAACCAGAAGTAAGAGTTGGGCTGGGGCGTTACGAATGGCAATGGGTCGGGGCGGGGCAGGTAGTGTAAGACCCGGACCCGCCCCGGGACTTCATTGGGTGGACCCGCCCTGCCTCGTGACCCACACGGGTCCAAACTTGTTGATTCATGACCCACCCCATGTGGGGCGGGTCTGCCCCGCCCCGCCCCGCCCCGTCCTAATCTAATTAGCTAATATGAATTTCTATTTGTGTGAAGTTGTTACCATTTAAATCTACATAAAATTTATCGTTAAATAATTATTTAAAAAATAATATATAAAATCAAAGTCACCTTACGCTACAAAAATCAGAAATTAATAAAAAGTATTAGAGTGGAATAATTAATCTATTTATATTAATAATTGCATATATAAATTAAAATGCTATATACAAAAAACATTAATAATTCGTCGTTCATTGCATTCAAATATAAACATTATGAAGTACTCCGTAATACTCCCTCCGTCCCAGGGAGAAGTTCCCACTTTCCGTTTTTGGCAGTCCCAACAAAAAGATCCCATTTCCCTAAATGGAAAGTTATCCTACATCAAAACAGTGTCAAACAGTGCAAAACAGTGCCAAACAGTGTGGAAACAATGCCAAACAGTGTCGAAACAGTAAAATTTACCCCTCAGTAACTTTATTTCCTTAATATGTGTGAAAGTCAACCTGGGAACTTCTCCCTGGGACGGATGGAGTATATTATAAGACCAACGAATTTATGATTTATTGTACACACACACATGTATGTAGAATTATATTTGTAGTATAATTTTGAAAAAGTATGTATACCTATATATTGAGTGGGTTGGGTCAAAGCAGGTCGTGTCAATAATAAGACCCGGACCCGCCCCATTGTATGAGCAGGGCGGGGAGGACCGTCCCATTTGCAAGACGGGTAGGGGCGGACCCACCTCAAATGTCTCGGGCTAGGGCGGGTCGTTTTTTTTTACATGCCTAGGGCCGGTGCAAAGAATTTTTTACAAACAATTTTTTACACATAAATTTTTAAGTTAAAATATAAGCAATTTTAAATTTTGGGCTGGGCCGTGGCCCGATTGGCCACCCCTCCACCTCCGCCCCTGACCACATCGACAACCATTCGGATAATTGACGGGCAACAGTTACACATAATTGAAAACACGGGGACTACAATTCAATATGGACACTATTTGAGGGATTGAAAATATAATTTTTCCTATATAAAACTAGGGGTGGGCAAAATGATTTGGTTTAACCGAGCCAAACCAAACCAAATCGAAAATTGGTGGTTTGGTGTGAGTTCACTAAAGTAAACTGTTTGGTAAGAATTTGCTCAAACCGAATGGTTTGGTTTAGTTTGAAATTGAAAAACCATAAACCGAACCGAACATCAAACAACTTAATATATATACTTTGTATTTATCTTAACTCTTCATTTTTAAGATATAAATAATTTAGATATGAAAAATACATATTTAACATATATCATTTTACCTTTTATACATTTTATACATTCATTATGATAAAGTTAGCTAATACGACATATTTGTATTTGTTAAGTTTGACGATAACAATAGCAAATTGCATATATATTTTTTACATGATTTGTTTGAATATATTTGTGAATACTATAACATTTGTACCACCGACTTCTTTAGTTTTTTTTAATATTTTATGTGATACTCATATTATAAATGTTAATCAACTATAATCTTTTTTTTTTGTGAGAAGTGAATCTTTTTCTAGTGAACGAAAAGATGATAGAATTTTTAATTCATAATATTTTATTATTTCTTTTTCTATATTTCCTTTTACATTTTATTTGAATAATCAATAAAAGAAGATGAGATGGACTATTACTTTCATTTTCTAATTTAAAAATATAAGAACTTGATCAAATTAAATTATACTCGTAATAAACATAAGAAAACGAATCAAATCGAACTAAATTAAACCTAATACTTTTTATTTTGGTAAATCGAACATCAAACCGAACCGAACCGAAACTGAACCGAAACCAAACCGAAACACAATTGTTTTAGTTTGGTACAAATTCTCCCAACTCGAATAAACTGAAACCGAACCGAAACCGAAGAAAACCGACCGTAAACCGGTTTGCCCACCCCTATATAAAACCTTTCTATAAGTACATATACACAGTTGCATGTTCAACACAAGAAGTTTGTTTTATGGAGTAGCATGTAACTCTCTTATATCCACTCATTTTTATAGTGGGACTCTCCACTCATTTCCCTGTTTAACACCATCTATCATGTCACTTATATATTTCAGCCGCACTCATATATTTATGGTTTACATATAATTTCAAAAATAATTGTTGATATGTGCTTAGCTACATGAGATATAAGTAATCAGGTACCAGGGGTATTAGCTTGTACATACTTAATATATAGAATACTTAATATTGATTTTTCTTGATCAATGATAATTAACTTTAATTTTTGCATCATTTGCAATGAGTCAAAGATTCACTAATTTTTGGCTTGAGAATATGATGTAATAAAGCAAAACGACTCACTAAACTGTTTGTACTTCTTTGTTATGAAGCAGTAGTCAGTCCATGCAATTTTCGATGCGATTTTCACCTTGGATCATCCGGAAACAGTCTCTTTGTGCTTTAGTACAGGGGTAAGGCTGCGTACATGATACATCCGACCCCCCCTACCTCACCGTAGGTGGGGAGCCTTTGCGGCACGGGGGTAATGATGATGATGAATGATATTTAACTTTGATCAATGATAATTCTTAATACGAAATTCATTTGAATATGAAAATTATATCAAAATGCTCCTTATTCAAAGTATTTTTCATAAAAGTATAAAATTTATAAATTATAGACAAATATAATAATTAATTTTATTATCCAAAATTTGTCATCATTGACCAAGAAAAGTCAATATGATAAATTTTTTAAGAGTGGAGGTAGTATTAAAGTTTTAGCTCAAATGTTCAATTAAGGATGTTTTTAATTGAATGTTATTCTTAAATCTGATTTGGTCTAATCTAATGTATTCAAATCTATCAGTCTAATCTGAGGATGAAATTTTAATTGAATGTTTTAATTCAATTTGTGTATTTTATAACTGCTGAAGTCTAGACAACTTAAACCATGTATGACGAGTTGATGTAGTGGTATACTCGTATGACCCAATCTAGTTTAGGGTTGAAAGTCATCAAATTAATAACATCCCAAATGAAACGATGCTAAATAGTAGTAGTAAATACTCTCCCTGGCCTAACATTTGAGTAAGAGAATTTGGGGTTGAAGTTTGTGCATCAGAAAGGCAGAAAGAGAATCAGTTGGAATCGCAAACAATTGAAAAGTTAGTGAAAAGATTAAAAAGAATGGGAAAATATTAGAAAACACTTGCCAACAAAAGAATGGGACCGGGAATAGCATTTTGAAGAGCTTGGAAGACAATTTTCTGCTGTTGGGCCGAGTCGAAGTTTCGGGAAACTGCTGTTGCTGCCTCCACTAAACCGTCGTACCCTCTTGTTTTATTTCGAAGTCCTACAAATTTTCATTTGAGCCAATTTAGTTTATGGTAAAGTGTGGCATAAGAAATCCGGAAAAAACTTACTTTTATGGCTGGAATGGCTATTCTGTCATTTATGCAAAAAATATATTCAAAATATATTTTATTAATAAAATAAAAAAATGCATAATTCAATAGCTAAAATAATCCTAACTTCAGTCAATACAGTCAAAAAAGTAACTTCAACATTACATTTTCTTATTACTCCCTCCGTCCCTCAATGTTTGTCCTAGTTTGACTTCACAAATATTAAAGAAATTAATTTGACTTTATACTGTATCGACACTGTTTGGCATTGTATCGACACTGTTTGACACTGTAGTGACACTGTAGCGGCACTGTTTTGCACTGTTTGACACTGTTTGATAAGGATTTGTTTGTCAAATAAGGAAAGAAAAAAGTAGGACAAACGTTTTGGGACATCCATTTCGGGAGAGTAGGACAAACATTGAGGGACGGAGGGAGTATTATTACATAACTCATCGTGAGAAATCAAAAGTTATGTGTTTGGTGAAAAAGTTGACTGATAAATCGGATAAACCCATAAACAGAGTCACCAACCAGACTCTTAAAGTCTTAAAGCATATTTACCTTATCCAAAGATAGAGCCACAACATCTACTCCGTGTTAGGATTTAAACACACACAATACGAAAAACACTAAGAAAGACACGAGAATTTGGTGACCCAGTTCGCCAAGAATGACTACGTCTGGGGGCGCTACCAACCAGAATGTTATTATTATTTTCTGATGATGATTACAATGAGAGAGCATGTATTTGAAGAAAATAATAACCCCAACCCCATAACCCCGAACCCCCGTCCAACTCCTTGTCGAGTTGGATCAACGGAATGAACTTGGTTATACAGTCTCTAACTGTTGGAAAAAGTGTGTTAAAATTGCATTAAATGGTCATTTTGGGGCAATTTTTTGAGTGAGGTCCACTTCCGATTTGGGTCGGGTCAAAGTGATTTCGGATTGTCCTTGCTTAGGCCTACAATTCGATATATGGTACGCTCAAAACGGATAACGGGTGAATGAGAAATCGCTTTTCGAAGTTTACCCGTTGGAATGGAGAAAACTAGGAAAAAGTGGGTTTTTGGTATAGGTTTTTCCCACACCGAAAATCACAAGGGAAATTGAACCCTTTATAAAGGGAAACCCCGCCTAAGGAGTTAAGCTTCCTAAAGGGAAAGGCTCTCTCACGCGCGCAGGGGGGTGCGAATCAAATCCCGAAACTGAAGAACAAAAAGCACGACTTGCGTGCGTGGGCGACCTGCGGACTTAATGCACACGTTTTGGAATGTTTTTGGTTGGAATCAATGTCCCAAACGTTGGGCATTGATGTCCAACGTTCATATGCCTTAAACAGCCATTAACACACCATAATCCACCCCTATAAAAGGCTGGCAGAGGCTTTGCAAAACAGACACAACACACATACGTACTGCACTCTTTTTTAACTAAAAAACACTTCAGTCTTCTCCGAAAATTTTCTTCAGTGTTCACAACATTGTTCTCGTTCGTTGGAACCATAGTTTGATACCTAAACTATCGTTCGAAGCCATCGTATCCTAGGAAACGATCGTTGGAACGCTCCTAGCACCCCGGGAGGCAACGAATACGTTTTAAGGAAATCGTGTGTAGCACGAGCTTTGGCTTATTTTGCTTCATCTCATTTCTTGTTTTTATTTAAGTCATTTTATTTAATTAATTTTTATTAATTAATTTTCTTTGTTTTTCGAAACACACCCAACACTAACGTTCCTTATTTATGTTCGATCATTTTTGGATCATTAAGGTCATATATAAACTATCTGTTTCATTTCCCTTCTAAACTAATGGAGTGTTATTTAGTTCTTGTTTTTTCATGTAATATTACAAAAATGTAAACCATTTCAGTAATCTGTATTGTTGTCAGTTATCAGATCAGTATTTTCTTTTCTAATTACGAAAAGTATATATACTTCCGTAGAAACTAATCCAACACGAAATAGTAAATATAATATAATTATGTATGAACACTCTATTTTAACGTGAAAATCCGAAAGGGTTAAAATCACGGGACTTTTTTGACTAATGAACAAGTCACTCTCATTCTCCTTAAACCCTCCTCACTATTACAATGTACAACTGTTAGCCTTCGAAGCCACTAATAGAGCTCCCAATCTTCTCTAGAGAAAGAAGACTAACTATTTTTAATTGTGTTTATAATAATAGTTATTTAGTTTATCCATCTTTCTAATCGTTATTCATTTTTAATCTTCATATTGTTATTATTATTTTTTAATTTTAATTTTCTTTCAGTCTCCATATTGTCATTTGTTATTGGTTGACTAGTTGTTTGCATATAAGTGTTTAAGGAAATTAAAGATTCATAAAACTTCTATTAATTTTATCAATCATTAATTTAAATAAACAAATTTATGTTAAATACAATTAACACTACGTACAAGATTTTTTAAGGAATGCAAAAAATATTTTATACCTTTTTTGTGCGAATTTGAAAAAATTTCACGTCACAGCGGCCAAAATACGCATCACAACAGACGCATTAGCCACAACCGCTACTGCAGCGATCACAACCGCTACTGCAATCGCAGTTTAAGAGCATGGTGTGTGAATTGTGATAGTGTGTATGCATGTTCTTTATATATACACAAGTTTCTGGCGTGAGAATTCAATTCAACCGAATTGAATTATATATACTCATTATAAAATCCATCTTAATTTATTAATCACAAAGAAAGATATATATACAAGGCAGTAGAGAACCTGAAGCAGCTTGTATGCATTGGGAGAGATGGTTGATGGCCAAACGGTCAAAAAAGTTATCCCTGTAAACATTCTTGGAAGGCGTTACTGTTCCCGTTCTATAAGAATCGGCACCTGATTTTATTACTTCAGCGCCAACGGATGGCCGGAGACGGCGTAGTTTCATTGTGCCGTTTGTCTTTTTCCGATGATGAATAATTGGCACTGTGAAGCTCTCATAACTTTGCAAACCATTTGCATTCATTGAGAGATTTCAATTCGATCTGTATATGGATATGTGTTTGTATATATATACTTTTTTTTATCCCGAAATGAAGTTTTCGATTCACCTACACATATATTTATGTAAAATAAAGTTTTGTTTTGTTTTTCATGTATACATTTGTTTTAAGTAAAATCTAGTACTCCCTCTCTTCCATTGAAAGGTTCTCGTCCACTATTCATCTATCAGTGAAATGTTCTTAATGTTTTACTTTATATACGGAGTATCTATCTTTATCAAATACGTACTCCCTCTGTCCCTAAATTTACTTCCATTTCGCTTTTCGAGAGTCAACTTAAATCACTCTTAAACTCTTACTTTTTGTATCAAAACTTTATGAAATTTGATTTTTTTTTGCAGGTTTTGTAGCGGGTTTAATGTAGTTTCTGAATATGTAAATTTTATTTACTAAAAATAATCCGAGTTTTCACAGGGATCATTTAACTTTATCGTCGGTCAACCTTCGTAATCCGCAATTGGAACAACATTCAGGGACGGAGGGAGTATAATTTTTCTTTTTGCGGCATTATAAAACTTTTGATGTACTTTCTGAATATTTAAATTTTATTTATTAAAAATAATCGTATTAATGGTAAGGATCGATTAACTTTATGATCAGCCAAACACCATACATTCTTTTTATAGAATTGCAATTTCTTTTTAGTACATAACCTGGGAGAATGAAATCGAGATGAAATAAGGAACAAAATATCTAATAAAAGAATGAAAATGGAACGACAATATAAAGTGACACCGAGTACCGACTAGTTGGTGGACATTGTTCATATACGGAAAGAATCACTGGTACAAAAATACATTAATTTTGGTACATTAAAAGGTTTTGTCATATTCGGTGTTTTGTTACGCCTGATTTTATTGTCCCTGCACTTCGTCGTGATCTGATTAATGATAATTAATTTTCCTTTGTTAAAAAAAAAGGTTTTGTCATAAATATATAAAAGCGTTTGTCATGGATCATTTAGGGTTGGTTTGCAAATGTTTTAAAAAAACACTTCACACTTTTTATCTTAAAAAACACTTATTTTACCAAACATTACCAACTTTTATTTTTCTCGCCTTTCGTGTCAAAAGTGCTTTTACTTTTTCTATTACACAAAAAACATTTATTTTACCAAACACTACCAACTTTTACTTTTCAAAATCACCTTTTTCTCAAACACTATCAACTTTTATTTAATCACTTCTTCCCATTTCATTAAAAAAACATTTTTTTAAAGCAGAAACTGTTGCAAACAGACTCGTATAATACGTTCCATGAATATTTCCATGTCAAAATGGGGATTTGTAAAATATTTTACTATCATGTTATTACACAAATCGGAGTAACTTTAATTTCTTCCTAATATAAAAAATGAATTACTCGATTAAAAGTATAAACTTCCCTAATTAGGAGTAAATGAATCATATTTTAAAATAAAACAACAATGGTCTTATTTGGGAATTTTGTCAATTTTCAATCCTTTCAAAGGAAGGGATCGGATATTCTGACTTTATACTCCGCTTTTTGAGTTTTTTTGAGTGATATATTAGACTTTGCATATTTTCAAAGTTTTTGGATTTTGCAATCTATTTCCCTTAAAAAATCTCTTCCCTTGCACCTCATTAATTTTTCTTCTCAAAACACAAAAATTACAAAAATTGCATATTTTCTTACTCTAAAGTAGTGCACCGAATTACAATTGTGTTAATAATGATGAAAGTAAAAAAAGGACGGTCCACAATAGAAAGAGAGCAGTTAGATAACAAATAATTTGTGGGTGTAATTTGTAGTAGTAATCTAGTAGTAGTGGCTACATACAAACTGTGTGATTACTCCAGTAGGTTAAAGTAATTAACCATTCTTTCATCATTTGAACAGAAAATGTAACATGCAATCGTCATGCTCGCAACACGCAGTTACCTAACATCAATAAACCCATTGTTATTGTCAATTATACGTTCCTCTCTCAAACACATATTTTTCATTAGTAACCTACTCGAATGTACAAACAAGATGGAAAGGAAGCGGTCCAGCTTAGCTAGTCGCTGACTCACTCTCGCTTATGAGAGATTCCGGGTTCAAAACTTAATGGATTGAGTTTCAGCCCAGTTTACTCCAGGCTCCCTAGACCCCCTACCCCAGAAGCCCACTGGAGTAAAAAAAAATATAAACAAGATGGTGTGACTCACTTTGTGGTCATCCATCCAAGTCTGCCTTTACGGAATGATTAGGTTCAATTCTCCCAAAAGTAATAAGGTTGCTCCCAATAAGTTTCCTACCTTCACGCAGTAACTCTGAGTAGAGAGATAATGGTAATAAAATTGTAGGTTCGTGTGGTGCGGAGCAACTTGATATAAATGGTATAAGTTCTCCCAAAACCACCATTTAGAGCTAAGCTAGTACCAACAAATATCCACTGTGATTAAATCTCAATAAAATTGTCTACGGGGTTTCGAGGGTAGCTCAGTAGCTCATGTACTTCAGTATACACTTCAGAATTATCTACAGGGTACCAACAAATTATGCAAGAACGTATGCACTTTTTTTTTTTTTTTTTTTTTTTTTTTTTTATACCTTGTAATTATTAATGACTTTTTATAAGTGGCCTCATGTACTTCCATCAAACCCATCTTGTCTCTCTCTCTTTGCAAGAACGTATGCACTTATACATAGAAAACGAAAAATATGGTTATGAAATTATATAGAATTTATATATTCTATATATACAAATATAGTCATATTTTTTATATTGAATATGGTGTGAATTTCTTATGTATGTTTGTATTTTTTTCTAGTTTTTATTATTTGTAATTGTGAAAATTACACACTTTTGGTGTAATACTTTGTTTTCATAATTTTTTGTAATTTGTTTATATTAGAACTATTCTGAGCTAAAACCGGTCAATGTTCATCCAAGGGGTCAAGATTGGACCTTAAAAGATCAAGGAAAGTGCAAGGAAGCAAGAAAGATATTGATTTAGAAAAAATGCTCTTGTACCCGGTCAGGTATTTGCTTGATTCGAGTGTCTAAATCAAATCCAGGAATAAACGATCGTGGGAGCAATATTTTGAGAAGATTTGTCTCATACCCGATCGGGTATGCCGACATACCCAACTGAGTGTCCATAAAAGTGGCTTTCCTGGAAAGTACCTCAGATACCCCCTCAGGTATCCTATATGCCCGGTCGGGTATTAGACCTAGTCACTCTCAAAAGCCTATAAATACACTCATTTCCTTCCCAATAAAATCACCAATTCTCATAAATCTTTAATATTCTTCCTTGAGTATTAATTAATCCCTCTTCATATTTCATATTAATATTTTGAACATTACTTAAAGGACCAACTAGTTTTGTTTCATATATTAATTATTACTAGAAACAATCAACGAACCGATGATTAATCGTTGATGGTTTCATAAGTAAGTAACTTCGGTTTATTAATGCACGGTCGTGGTTAATAAACTTAAGAGGGATTAATTTTGTTGGTTAAACCGAAACCGTTGTGTTGAGGTTATCAATCTCAATTGATTTCATCAAGGAGTTAAGAGATTAAATGCTACTATCAAGTCGGTATATGGCGTTGTTCTACACTTGACTAATAGTAAGGGTTATTAATAAACGGTCATTGTTAATAACTACCCTCGATGAATTGGATATACTCCTCGATTGAGTATTCGAGAGGAGATAAGTTATAGATATAACAATGATCGACTAAAATATATCAACAAGTGGAACGTAGCAATGCCAAGTCATTTTTATCTTTGAATTAAATCACATATAACTCGTTCATCTTCGTGTTTAATTTTAATTAAATCACTCAATCAAAACCCCCCCTTTATTTACTAGTTCATAAAAAGAGAGTTATTCCTTTCCCTGTGGATACAAACTCTACTTCACCTATACTACATATAAGTGCTAGTATTGAATATTATTTTGACGCATCGTGACAAAGTGCCCTGTCACCCTCCTCGAATACATCGAGCTCGATTCTCCCTCCGATCGGCAGATAGCGATCGGGATGGATCTTGAGAAAGAAATACGGGAGGGGGTGGTTGCCATTCTGAAGAAGTTCCAGGTTCTGTTTGCTCGAGGGCCAGGAGATATGCCAGGAATTGATCCAGATCTCATCTGCCATAAACTAGCCGTTCGCCCTGATGCCAAACCCATACAACAAAAGAAGAGACATCAGGCGGCCGAACGGCGGGAGTTCACAAAACAGGAGGTAGCCATGCTATTGAAGATAAGGCACATTAGGCCCGTCAATCACGTTGAATGGTTAGCTAACGTGGTCTTTGCCCCAAAAGGGTCCACTTGGAGGATGTGTGTGGACTATTCTGACTTAAACAGTGCATGCCCCATGGACCCTTACCCTGTGCCAAGGATTGATCTACTGGTGGACGAGACAGCAGGGTGTGAGTTACTGAGCTTCATGGATGCCTTCAGAGGGTATCACCAGATCTTCATGCACCCAGAGGACGCAAAAAAAACTGCATTCGTTACCTCGGATGGCATGTTCTACTACATAGTCATGTCGTTTGGGTTGAAGAATGCAATGGCCAACTTCCAAAGGATGATCGGGATGCTCTTCAAAGAAGTGCTGGGGGTGACCATGGAAGTCTATGTTGACGATATCCTGATCAAGAGCAGAAAAAAGAGGACCATGTACGGGACATGGAGAAAGTATTTGGAATCATGCAGAAGGCGAACATGAGGCTGAACCCTAAGAAGTGTGCCTTCGCAGTCATGGGAGGCAAGTTCTCTGGGTACATGATGAGCGAACGGGGAATTGAGCCGAATCCTGAAAAGGTTAAAGCAATCATGGATATGGAGGCTCCGAGGAACCTGAAAGAAGTTCAGAAGCTGACCGGTAGGTTGGCAGCCCTGAGCATATCGGGCAATGCCGTTTTTCCAAATATGAAGAAGGCCAACCCGTTCGAGTGGACAGCTGAATGTCAGGCAACTTTTGAAGATTTCAAGCTTTATTTATCTTCCCCCCTGGTCTTGACCAAAGCGGATCCAGGGCAACATCTGTATA